GCCATTAAATGTGCTTAGCTTTGACTTCTGTCTCATAACTGAACACTACGGCAATTTTCCATAACAACATGCATCTAGGATGATTCACTGCTGAATTGAAACATATATTCCTTTTATCATAATGAAAGTAACCAGAAGTAAGTTTGCCTGCTTCTGAGAAACAGTAATGATCAAACAGTGGTAACAGAAAAAAATATCTAAGTTCTATTTTTGGACTCCACAGGAGAATATTGCTTGCTGAAACTTCTAAAAACTTGAGAGGGGCAGAAAATTTCTCTCTTCCTTCCCCTCTTTTTTAAAAGAAGGCAACTGCTAAGAGACTTTGGTCATCATCTCACACTCTCATGCAATGTCTTTGAACTTAATTACCTTCATATAAGTCATGTTAGTAGAATCACTCAGTAGAGAATGCTATTATATAACTTCATAAATTACTGTACAAACATGAAATGTACCTAATGTCCTATGAAAGTTAAATAAGTACTCACGCCACACAGAGTATGCTTAAGAAAGTTAAATTGTCCGTTTCTTTTCCATCTAACTGAAATATGAAATATGAAAAAAAAAATCTGACAAGCATTAAGAATATGTAATATTCAATTCAACTAATTTTTATTTATTAAGTATCCATTCCATATGACTTGCCTTCTGCTAAATTTGGTGGAAAATACAAAAGAAGTATTCAGTATTTACTGTAACTCTGAATTATGAATAAAATACTGAGTGAGATGACAATTCTCAAGTACTCCATAAAAATAATAGTCACAACTCTAATTTCTAATAGAAAGAAATTAAGGTGAAGAAAGAAGGTAATTATATCTTGCAAAATGTAAACAAATCATTAATCCCTGGAATCAAATCAACAACATATAATAGACTGCTACAGAGAATAGCTACTCAATAAATATTTAATGGATTAGTCTGTAACTTAAAATACATTATAAGTACTAATGCTCATATTTTTTTAATCTTAGTATTTATAGTAATAAGTACATATATACAGTTAATCTGTGACTATGTTAAAATTTATTTAAGAAAATAAGTTTAATACATATTTTATTTCAAGAATTCTTTCATTTATTTGACAAATATTTATTGAGTACCTAAGGAGACCTGGTGGTGTTGCGGTTAAAGCACTCAGCCACAAACCAAAATGTCAGAGGTTTAAACCCACCAGCTACTCTATGGGAAAAAGATATAGCAGTCTGCTTCTGTAAAGATTTACAGCCTTGAATACCCTCTGGGAAGTTCTACTCTGTCCTAGAGGACTGCTATAAGTTGGAATTGACCCCATGGCAACAGGTTTGGTTTTGGTTTTTAATATGGGCAAGAAATTGTGTTTGGCTTCATGGATATGACAGTCAACAAGAAAGACATGACTCTTGGCTTCCTGGAGCTTCAAAGTTAGGCAGAAGAAGATGGAAAATATACAAAGAAGTACATAAATGGTTAAGTTTAACTGTGACATGGACTACATAGCCAAAATAGGATGCTGGAGGGCATATAATGAAGGCCCAAGCTCATTTGTGCTAGGGGTAGGGGCCAGAGAGAGGTTCAGGGGAGACTTCTTTTAGGGAACTTATCATTGAGGTTGAAGGATGAGTAGGGCATGAATAGAAAGACTAGGGGGCCTTTGAAAACAGAGAAAATGTAAGTGTGTAGAAAGCCTTAGCAGCACAAAGAGAAACTATGTAGGGAAGCAGGTCCAAATCACACCAAATATAGCATGACACAGAAGAATGTGAACACTTGATCCTTTAGCCCAATTAGAAGTTTTTTAATGGGAATGCCAGGTAAAAATAGTAAGTTAAAAACCCACATTAATTTTACCTCCTCCTGAGCTCTAATCAAAACTATAGTACAGATTTTTTTTCCCCACACCAAAAAAAAAAAAAAGTCACAAATTCACTCAACAGCAACAAAAGCATGGAAGTAAAAAGCAGATTTTTTTTTTAAAAAAAGTAACTAACTTAATATATGCAACAAGATTTCAGCAGGAAAGCTGAGTGCCGACCCAATTATACTGCAAAATCATCAGAAGGCTCAGAAACTGCTAACACTGTATATCTGAAACTGGGGGTGAATGGGAGCTTATAAAATCAGGAGAACTGTGGGGAACTGTTTGAAAAGGAGTTCCAAACCAAGCCAAACTCACTGCCATCAAGTTGATTCCAAATCATACTGACCCCCGTTGGGTTTCTAAGGATGTACACCTTTACGGAAGCAGATTGCCTTATCTTTCTTTCTTCTGTGGAGCAGCTGGTGTGTTCAAACCACTGACCTTCTGGTTAGCAGCCAAATGCCTTAACCACTATACCACCGGAGCCAGACCCCTAGAAATTCTCCCCTACTCCATTCTATACGACCAGCTGCCCTATCCCAGCCCAGCAGAAGATCAGAGATTTGTTCACTGAAGAGGGTGAAACAGATGGTCCTGATTAGTGGGCCTGAGTGGGAATGCAATACTGAATAATGAGACCCCTCAAACCTCTTCTCCATACTCAACTCCCAGAACACCGGTAGCCAAACCTTTGGCTCCAGGTGAGAGATCAAAAAACTCTTCTCTGGGAAATCAAGCTCCTAATCTCTGTTGTAGACTCAGCTACTTGGACCAGATGGGATTCTTCATTTCACCAAAGAAGTATTGTGCTTTGGCCTGTTCCTGAAAGCAAGAGTAAGCCATAAAAGCACATATCAATATATAAACTAAATGATCTTTGTCCATATTTCTAAGGATGGCTAGTGTCTTAGGGTACTAGATTAAGATTCTCCTAAGGGAAGTCTTGGGAGCTCTGGTAGCATAGTGCCTAAGGCACTTGACTGCTAACCAGAAGGCTGGCGGTTCAAACCCACCAGCCACTCCTCAGAAGGAAGGTTGGGCAATCCTACTTCCGTAGTGATACTGCCTGGCAAACCCAAGGAGGGGTCACTATGAGTCGGGGCCGACTCGACGGCAAACAACAACAACAACAACAAGGGAAGTCTAGTAGTCTATGCTACAACTTTGGCAGATGACTCAACTGTGATAAAGCCTAATTTTCTTAAGATTATCTCATGACTTTGCCTGACAAATTCTCTGCAAGAGGTTGTTAGAAACTCTGAGGAAAAGTGCAGCTAGTTTATGACTCAGATACTATCTAGCCATCTTCCCCTGCTAGGAGTAGGAAAACAGCTCTCTCTTTCAACAAGCATGATTATGTTTACTTTTCATTTTACCAAAATTAATTTAACATTTAGGAACACATCCATAGGAAGTAAATCTACTGAGAACCAAAGGAATGATTAACACAAAAGTCAGGATGTTGGTTACCCTGGCAGAGCACAGGGAGGAATTAGGGGAAGGACATGCAGAGGGTTTCTAAAGTATTGACAACCTTCTGTTTATTAAACTGCATGGTGGGTATATGTATTTTCAGTTTATTACTCTCTATCCTGTTCACATGCATATATTTCAAAATAAAACTAATTTTTTCGAAGGAGAATGACAGGATCAGATTTCCACATCTGAAATATTATGAAGCCCTCTATGAAAAGAAAAGAGTAGGCAGCAACTAAAGAAGTCTAGGGAGTGATGGTGGTGAATGACTGGCTTAGGGAGTGGCAGTGAAACCTGATCTGTTATAAAAGATTACATGACGTTTCTCTGTGTTATTTTTGGGGGAAGACTACTGTGGAAGGAAGAAAGAAAATGGAGTATTGGGTCCATTAATAAAAAAGAAAAAAAAAAGGTACTCATGATAATTCATTGTCAGTGGTTATTACTGCTAACATGTTCCATTTATACTATCCTTCTAATACAGAAGCCCCAAACACTGTAAAAGTATTCAGTTAAACTTCAGAACATATTTCTATGAGTAGCACAAGAAGAGGCCTTAACAAATCCAATTTTACAAACACGAAAACAGCTGGACAAAAAGGTGAATGGTTTGCCAAGACTGGTTAAACTTCTGAGTGAGGGCTGAACGTATAAATAAAATTCAGGAAGCCAACACCCCAGCCAAGCCTTAAAGCCTTGTTGCATGTGGTACATAAACACCATTTTAATTTCATTTCCATGTGAAACTTCTCCTAGATGTAAAAAGGGGCCTGTTCAGAGCTGAAAAGCAAGGTGCTGTCCGTCAGTCCAATACAGCCACATTTAGAACTGCCAGAGGAAGTGCGGTGTAATACAGCCTTCTCACCTATGCGAGTACCAAATCAGAAGAGCTTGCTTTATAACTTCCTCATTGACCTTTCTTGCCCAGAACTTAACAATATTCTACTTCATATAAGTTTTAAACACAGTTTTAATAGTGTTAAAAACCTGGCAATCCATTTCAGTTGAGGGATGCTTCAGAAATCTTTCATCTTTATGTGAGCACCTAACAGACTGCCTAGTATCCAGGTGATGCTAAGTACAAGCTTCTTGAGCCATTAATAAAATTGAACCACCAAGAAATGTGTAATTTTCTGTCATTTTTACCAAACTAATAGCAAACTAGATTAAAACCAAAAACCAAACTCACTGCTGTCTAGTCGATTCTGACTCATATCAACTCCCATTGGGTTTCCAAAGCTATAAATCTTTACAGAAGCAGATCGCCTCATCTCTATTCCACAGAGTAGCTGGTGGATTTGAACCACTGACCTTTTGGTTAACAACCAAATGCCTTTATCACCATACCACCAGAGGTCCTCAACAGCAAGATTAGGCTTACTGTATCTTCTTTGGTTCCTTTGGTTGGGTTAAGATGAGATTTCTATAATGATGCATTAAGGAGAAAGATGGTAAGCCTAAAAAAATTTTAATTAGCTAGTAGCTTATACAATGGGCAATTATAATGATTACCAGAAAAAAAAAAAAAAAAACAGCAAAAGGAAAGAGATAAAATTTTAAACATTTAAAATTAAAACAGCACAAGAAGGTAGCTTTTTAAACAGTGGGAATGATCTGATACACAAAACTTTTTAAACAGTTTATTCTTGGAAACAGAAGATAAATTGCTGAGTCCACCTCTTACCTTGAACACTTCCATTGGAAGAGGAAACTTTGCAGCATCAATAAGGGATTTTTCCAGAGCACATTTCCATTCAGATGCCATCTTCAAAGGATAGATTTCTGTATCGACAATAAACAACACACGAGCTTAAGGACCAAAATGTTCTACTGGGTCATTCTTCCTTGAATTTTATCTTCCCAAACTTTTATAATAGCTTAGCATGCTCAGCAACCATAAGAGATCACACCATGCCCACCATAAAAGGCCATCTGCTGAAGAGATTTCCTGAAATTAAATAGCAACCTGGGATACCACAACCAGAAATGAAGAATAAATTTAACAGGGCTCTTCTTCAGGGAACATTCTTATACATTCCGTTGGTATTCGGCGAGTAATTTAATGTATTAATCACATTAGCAAAACCTCCAGTAATCCATTGCCTCAAATTCCATATATCACCTAGGAAGCAATATCCACTGATGAAGAACTTATTATCAGAAAAATTTCAAAACTAGAAGTAACTCCTGTCTGGTATTTACAGTTATTATAGCATATTTTTCACTATACCTCTAAGCACTCATATACTAAAAACAGTGCACATAAAGTCATAAAATTATTAAAAGGTAAATTAAAATTTACCAAGTTTAATATTTACACGGGAAATGATGCTAACACACCACATGTTGCCCGTATTTTTCCCCAGGCAGAGGGGAGGGAGGGATTTACGAATGGAGGTTACACTTCCTGAAGCAAAATTAAAAGAAAACATTGTTGAGCACTGTTTTTACCTATTGCTGAAACTGCAGGGGAATTTTATGATCTGATCTCAACAGATTTAAGACCTTATCAAAATAGGATTTGCAGAAGCACTCACTGGAAGTAGATATGTTTATACGTTTACTATATCAACCCAGAATACTTTAGACAGACAGTTAGGATATGAATATGAATTTAAGCGCAGTTAAAAGGCAACATTAAACCTTTGGGGCTATATTTTTAATTTCTTGCATGTCTGCTTTTTAGCATGGAGCCATATATTTTGATCCTTATAGCTTCTGCACTCACCTTGAGCATTAAGCCCCGAGTAGGAGATACGTGTTTTAAAAGGTTTTTTTTTAGTCTTTTCAGGCCATTATTGACCCTTGATGGTGCAACCACTAAGCACTCAGCTGTTAACCAAAAGGTCGGCAGTTCAAACCAACCAGCCACTCCACAGGAGCAAGAGACCTGGCGATCTACTCTGAGAAAGATTTCCAAAACCAAAAAATCTACTGCCATCAAATCAATTCTGACTCATAGAGACCCTACACAGCCCAGAAAACCCTATGAGGCAGTTCTACTCTATACTACAGAGTCACTATGAATCAGAAGCAACTCGACAGCACACAACTACAAGATGCAGTCACAACTAGCCAATGCACTGCCTGCCCACTGTCATTATCATTTACATAAAGAAACAAAGAAACATGAAGGGTTATTAACAACAAAACACCCTCGACTTATATATATCGTCTATAACCCTTTCTAGCACTTCATTTATTTTCGTCTACCTTTGGGGAATTTTTTTCACCCAATTTGGCATTTCCATGTCAGAACAAAAAGAAAATGGGATTCTTCGTAGCAGTGTGGCATGTATTTTGAGGCAAATACCAAAACCAAAAGCACTACCATCAAGTCAATTCTGATTTATAGTGACCCTACAGGACGGAGTAGAAGTGCCCCCAAAGGGTTTCCAAGGCTGTAATCTTTATGGAGGCAAAATGGCTCATCTTTCTCCTGTGGAACAGCCAGTGGGGGAACAGCCAAGCACTTAACCAATTACTGCACCACCAGAGTTCCTTTTAAGGAACATTCAAACTCATTCACTCACTCACTCGCTCACTGCTGTTGAGTCATTTCCAACTCATAGTGACCCCTCCTTGGGTTTCCAAGGTGGTATCTCTAGGGAAGTAGATTGACCAATCTTTCTTCTGAGGAGTAGCTGGTGGGTTTGAACCACTAGCCAACTAGTTAGTTTAAGGAACATACAACAACAACAACAACAACAACACACTGCCGTTGAGTCAGATCTGACTCATAGCGACCCCTCCTTGGGTTTCTGAGGCAGTATCACTACAGAAGTAAATTGACCAACCTTCCTTCTGAGGAGCGGCTGGTGTGTTTGAACCACCAGCCTTCTGGTTAGCAGTCAAATGCCTCAGGCACTTTGCTACCAGAGCTCCCTTCAAAAAACAAAACCTCATTGCTGTCCAGTCCAATCCGACTCAAGCGATCCCTCCTTGGGTTTCCAAGGCAGTATCACTACGGAAGTAGATTGCCCAACCTTACTTCCGAGGAGTGGCTGGTGGGTTTGAACCACTAGCCTTCTGGTTAGCAGTCAAATGCCTTAGGCACTATGCTACCAGAGCTCCCTTGTTGTTGTTGTTGTTTTCTGCTGTAGAGTTGGACCCAACCCACCCTTAGGAGGGGCTAAACAAATACTTATACAGAAACTGAATGGTTCCTATTACCTCTATAGTTGAGGGAAGGGGGAGCTAAGGAAGAATTACTTAACACTGGGTCCCACAAAGTAGGAACTGGGACCAGTTCACAGAGCTCTATAATTGTTCCATGACAGTGAGAAGGATAGCCTAGATTGTACTAATGGTTCAGCTCAGGGTGAGTGCACAGAAACCCCATTACGGGGGAGGCAATTCAGAGGACTCTTGGAAGCAAAGCCAGGAGGACACCAACTGCAAGAGTTCAAGAGAGGACCAGGAGAAAACACCAAACAAGAGGCTCGATTTTCTGACTGACATGAATAAATTCACTTTTCTAGAGCTGTGGAAGGAGGCAGACAGGGACTTCAACCATAATGTGGTAGTAAAGAGAACAGATTCATGAAACAGGATGTTAATTTCCAAAGCCAGGACCAAAGGAAGGCTCTGAAGACATAAAAGGGTGCAAAAAAGGGAAAAAAGTCTACCTAGTTGATATCCTTAGTTCTTTCACTCTGTATCTCTAATTAATTTCCCCATTGAATGTGGTATCTGGGTGAGAGAGAGAGAGACCCTAAAATAAAGAAGTAGATAAAAGAGTAGTTTTAAAAAAATTACTGAAAGCTAAATCTGTTGCTGTAAAATCAATTCTAACTCATGGTGACACCATACGAGCAGAATAGAACTGCAGTTCATAGGGTTTTCAAAGCTGTGACCTTTGGGAAGCAGCTGGGCAGGGTTTGCTTCCAAGATGCCTCTGGGTGGGTTCGAACCATCAATCTTTTAGTACTGGGCACTTAATCAGCTGTGCCACCCAGAGACTCACTCAAGGCCAGTAGCAACAAAAACCCACCATGGCCTGGGTTAGGTTCAAATGACCCTAACTCAGTGAAGTGATGTACAGACCCCAACAGGGATTCTCATGGCCCTTTCTGACCGCACCTTCATACATGTAGGCAGATTTTGGACTGAACCAGCCAAGTCATCCCCAGAAAGCTGACTCCTCACCCCACATGACGCCATCTGTCTCTCTCCACATTAGAGATAAATAGAATAAGAAGCCCAGCTTCCAAGTGCTTTTTTCTCCTGCCATACAATCTTAAGATTCTCTGTCTTCTTTCTAAGGATATTACATTCTAAAACGGAATTTAACCCCAAGTAAAAGCATACTTCTTTTCTTAAAAGGTGAAAATTAACTGCAGTTTTGTCAGTATGCTCAATCACCTACAAAAGCTAAACACCTAATGGTTTCAAATAAGCAGAGAACAATACTCCATGTGTGCATTTCATTAGATAAAGGCACTTGGGTTACACTAGCAAGTTTATGGACAATAAATAGCACCATTAAAAGAACATAAAACATTTTCTTAAAATGATTGTGCTGCAGGTAATTTAATAGAGTGTGTCATGTCAATTTCTGTTTGTGGGAAAGCAATAAGCAATTAAAATGTGTCCTGATTCATCTTTAACTAGAAGCCTACGTGAAAATGAGGCAATCTCCATTTGTAGTATTTGGCAGGCTGTTTCACAGTAAGTGCTGCAGGAAGCAGAAATGCATAAAATATGATCTTCAGGCCTTGGACTAAACAAAGGCCTTGAGGGTTAGGCTTTTCATTTATACCCCTCCCTGCCATTCCCATTCCCTTTTTTCTCTGCCAGGTTTCTTACCAGTGAGGAAATACTAATTTATGGTTTTTAAGATCTAGGTAACATTGAAAAGCAACAACCCCTTTTGAACTAAGGAGGAGGAGGTCTTTAAGTTAGATTCAGAAACTTACTAACTCCAGGAACTATTTGAAACAAGACAGTAAGGTTGAGAGGATTTTGAAGAAAAATAAAAAAAATCTAGAAATAGGGACAGAAACCTTAAAAAGATTCATCTCCCTGGCTTCTAAAAGAACGTAAAAAAAGTTTACCTTGCTTTCTAAAAAAAATCAGAAATATATGGAGCCTGGTGTAACCACTGAGACTATGGCCCCTAGCTGCCTTCAGGTCTGGAATT